ATAAGATAGATTCAAATTTTAAATCTTAAATATTATTTTAAAAATTAATTTTTTTTAATTGCACGGCTTGGTGTTGGGATGAATCTTTAATATCATAATTTTAAATGTGCATAAAAATTAATATAGATACAGTCTAAATAAAAGAGATATATATATATTAATTTTTTTAATTTTAAATTGGAAAATGATATCAGTGTGACATCAATAACCTCTCTACTAGGGCCCATTTGGACTGACGTACATAAATGGGTATAGAAATGTGAAAGGTTAAATTTATTGATAAATAAATATAATTTTTTAAATTAGATTTAATATTTAAATTTTAAAATTAATATTTAAGTTAATGTGAGATGTACTATTAAAATTGTTTAGGGATGAATTAATGTTAAAGTAAGTAAAAATTTATTCAAAAATCTTAACTGTAAAATAAAATATCATTATAAAATAAATAGAAAAAGTGATTTATAACTTGTGTTTTAAAATTTTTTTTTGAAAGACTTGTATAAAAGTTTATTTTTTAATTAATATTTTTTAAAAATTAATTTTTTATTTATTAATTTTAAATTTTAAATCTTAAATATTATTTTAAAAAATTAATTTTTTTAACTGTACGACTTGGTGTTGAGATGAATCTTTAATATTATAATTTTTTAATATAGATACAGTCTAAATAAAAGATATATATATTAATTTTTTAATTTTAAGTTAGAAAATGATGTCAGTGTGACATCAATAACTTCTCTACTAGGGCCCATTTGGATCAACGTACATAAATGGGCATAGGAATGTGAAAGCTTAAATTTATTGATAAATAAATATAATTTTTTAAATTAGATTTAATATTTAAAATTTAAAATTAACATTTAAGTTAATGTGAGATGTACTATTAAAATTGTTTAGGGATCAATTAATGTTAAAGTAAGTAAAAATTTATTCAAAAATCTTAACTGTAAAAGAAAATATCATGATAAAATATATAGAAAAAGTGATTTATAACTTATGTTTTAAAATATTTTTTGAAAGACCTGCATAAAAGTTTATTTT